AATAATAATAATAATAATAATAATAGGACTAAATCACAAATGCACTTGTTTGATTCAAGACCATTACTGCCCTGGAAAAGAAACTGTTTCTCAATCTATTAGTCCTCATTTTAAGACACCTATAACCACCTCTCTGATGGTAACAGTTTGAAATATGAATGTCCAGGATGAGAACGGTCTGTGGAGATTTTTTTAGTGCTCTAGAGAGGAGTCTGGCCTTCGCAATCTCTTCCAAAGAAGAAAGAGAGCAACCGATGGTTTTTTTGTGCTGTGTTTATAACTCTCTGGAGCATCATCTTATCCACTACAGAGCGTCCAGCATACCAGACCGTTACACAGTATGCCAAAATGCTCCTGATGGTAGAACGGTAAAAAGTAACCAGCCACTTCTCACCCAGACCACTTTTTTTTCAGCAACCTCGGGGCTCAGGGTTGACATGACTGGTCCTTGGTGCTCTCTGACCTTGGTTGTTTCCTTGCAGACGTCTCGTGACCCCAAAGTAGGTAACGGCATCAGTGCCTTGGGACTTGGAACAAGTCACTACATGAACTGTTGTAAGTTGAGGACAAACCCGTACATGTGAACGAGGAATTCACTGATAATGATGAAGATGATGACGATATGCTTGCGTTCAAATCAGCATCCCTCCCTTCTCAGCTCTCTGGTCTCTCTTCCAGGAAGACGCTGAGCAGTTATACAAGCAATGCCAACGATACGACCTCCTGAACAAGTTCTACCAGGCTTCAGACCAGTGGCAGAAAGCCATTGAGATAGCCGAGACCCAGGACCGAGTGCACCTGCGCACGACGTACTACAATTACGCCAAGCACCTGGAAGCCATCGCTGAGCGCAACTTTGCCATCACCTAGTAAGTGTTTGCAGGCTACCATATGCCAGAGCTTATCCAGATCCGACTTAAGATTCAATCAGACTCATTCTGGAGTAAGGGGGTCCTTGGTGCTCTCTGACCTAGGTGGCTTTCTATCAGACACTTTCATCACCCAACTAGGTAACATCGTCAGTGCTAGAAGGGGGTGGGGTTTGCAAAGAAGAGGAAGGAGAAGGAGGTTGAGGAAGAGAACTGTGGGGATCCTTGGGTGCTCTCTGAGTTTGGTTGCTTCCTTGCAGACGTTTCATCACCCAAACTAGGTAACCTCATCAAAAAATACGATAGATCCTCCAAAATAAATCCCGCTCTGTTATTCATCGCTCTGGTTTGGGATTCAACGGGTTGGGTCTCAATCCATCAAATCTAATTTGGGAGATTGAAGCACAAGAAATATGTGGCTCTCTTGGGAATGGAGAGTGAACAGGGACCAGTTGGAAAGAGAGGAGGAGGAGGAGGAGGAGGAGGAGGAGGAGGAGGAGGAGGAGGAGGAGGAGGAGGAGGAGGAGGAGAACTGTGGGGGTCCTTGGTGCTTTCTGAGCTAGGTTGTTTCCTTGCAGATGTTTCATTACCCACTAGGGAACATCATCAGTGGCAATAAGGAGTGGGGTTGGCTGTCAGTTTAAACCGCTAAAGTGCTTGTATGTATGATGAATGCTCTGATCTTGTGAGATCTCACAAGTCCAAGGAGGTTGAATTGTAAACAGCTTCCCTTCACTGTAAATACTCTCCATTCATTGTAAATACTCGTCCTGAAACTAAACTAAACAGCTGGGCTTTTTTCCCCTCCCGTCGTCCTGGCTTTCTGACCCTGTTTTTTCTTTCCGCGCAGCTATGAGAAGTCTGACACCCATAAGTTTGAAGTGCCTCGCATGCTTTCAGAGGATTTGCAGGCCTTGGAGTCCTACGTCAACAGGATGAAAGATAAGTGAGTGTCACCCTGGCCCAGTCCTCTTTGAGAAGCTGATTCGGCTGCTAACGGGCTCATCCTCGACATTACGGCCACCATTACTGAGCCCAAACTCTCTGTGGATAAGTGAGACCGGCCGTCAAGTGACTTCTGTCCCCTTCTGCCACCTTTCTGGCCACCGTTGTTAAGCGGATCGCTGCGATGGTTCAATTTGTACTACGGCAGTTAATGGGAATCTGGCTTTGCTCTCAGAAGGTCGACGAAGGGGATTATGTGGTCCTTGGGCCACTGCAACCATAAATACCACCCGACTGCTGAGCGTCCAAGTTTTTGGTGACCATGGGGATGCTGCAATGGTTGTTAAGTGTGAAAAACTGGGGGGGGGAAAGTCCCCTTTTTTTATGCTGTTGTAACTTTGGTCACTAAATGAACAGCTGTAAGTCAAGGATTTCCTGGGTTTGCCTGGAGGTTGAGCTAGAACTGCTAAATCCATGTCTTTCCTCCCCAAAGGCAAGATTTGCTCTCTATGAATAGCTCAACACTTCGCGGAGATGTCATCCATCTGGATTCTGATTGATTGATTGATTGATTGATATCCACCCTCTCTCCTACCCTTTGTTTTTCCTCCTCCAGAGGTTTGTGGAAATGGTGGGCTCAATATCTAGAAGGCCAGGCCGACTTAGAAGCAGCTTTCAAATATTATGAGCTGGCTCAGGATTATTTTTCCATGGTCCGTATCCATTGCTTCCTGGGTAACATCCAGAAGGTAAGTTTGCTTTCTTTTAACAGATTAACAGAGTTTGAAGGCGTCTTGTACTGTAGGTCATCTAGTCCAAGCCCCTCTGCCCAAGCAGGAGACCCTACACCCTTTCTGACAAATGGCAGTTCAATCTCTTCTTGGAAGCCAGTGAAGCTCCCACAACTTCTGAAGGCAACTTCTGTTCCATCGGTTGATTACTCTCACTGTTAGAAAATTTCTCCTTATTTCCAGGTTGAATCTCTCCTTGTTCAGTTTCCATCCATTATTCCTTGTCTGGCCTTTGGGTCCTTTGGAAAATAGCTTGATCCCTGGAAAATAGTAGATCCCATCTACTCTTTCAGAGTCCCAAAAGTGCTTTTTCAAGAGGCAACTGGACTTTCTCGGGTTTTCCTTGAAAACATTTCGCTTCTCATCCAAGAAGCTTTCTTCAGTTCTGAAGAAGCTTCTTGGATGAGAGGTGAAATGTCTTCAAGGGGGAAAAAAACCAAGAAAGTCCAGTTTATATAAAAAAAAGAAATTAAAAAACAACAACAACAACAACAACAAAAAAGCACTTTTGGGACGGCTATGACCTGGATGACGGAGACTCTCCATAGATGTTGCCTCAGAGGTGCCAGTGTGTGGTTCCAAGTGGAGAAAGCACCGGCTTTTGTCTCTCTTTTTGCTTCAGGCTGCCGAAATAGCAAACGCAACAGGCAACTGGGCAGCGTCTTATCACGTTGCCCGTCAGTATGAGAGCCGCGAGGACATCAAGCAGGCGGTGCACTTCTACACCCGGGCTCAAGCGTTTAACAACGCCATCCGTTTGTGTAAGGTACGGGCAACTTGCAACGTGTTCTGACCTCGGCTTCACAAAAATCACGAAGCAGGCTCCTCGTCCCGACAAACCCCCTTTTTATTAGGCTTTTATGTGGATTCCTCTCACTCACATCCAGCAAAGTCCCGGCAAACCATCTTTCAAGAGGAATTGCAACCCCAGACCTTATCAGGCTTGGAGAGCTGCCAGGCTGATAGCTTCCAAGCGCAATGCTGTGCAAGAAATACTTGGCAAGGAGTCTCTGAGAGTCCCAAACAAATCTTCACACTCATTAAAGGAACTAATTGTCTCCTGCAAACACTACTCCCCTTTCATTCCTCTTTATTTCCTATGGGAGGGGCCATTCGCCATCCATCTGTGCCTTTACTCCCAAGTTGACTCTTGTTCCTTAACTGTTCCCTTCTTCTGGCAGCTCTGTGCATGCGCATACTGGGAAAAGGCTCCAGCTGTTCTTCTGCCTCACTGAAGTCCAAATCCGAAGGCAGCTGATAACTGTTGGATGGCCCTGTCTCCATCTCTGCCTCCGACCCAGAGCCCTCGTCAGAGCCTTTCCCAGACTCCAGGACTGACCCATGTTCCTCCCCAAACTGTCCAAGTCTGCCACCAGCTCCGCTGCCTCTGGCGGCCCGCAACACAATGATCCCTGAGCTGCTGAGGTTACTATTGTAGACTTTCTGAGTTGTGCTGGGAGTAGTGACTTAGCAATCTCCATCAAAAGGTGGGAGGTTTCCACCCGCCAGATGAGGCTGAAGACCCTTCTGAGCCCATAGCCCAGCAGAGCAGATGTCCTGAGAAGACGCCACCAGGACCAAACACAATAGCTGGGCTGGTGGCCACAGGATCGTGTTCCCTTTGTTAAATTTTGACAAATTACAGCCCGAGTTCTGCCAGGGTGACGAGGTATCTAGAAAAGGGATGGGACCTTTTATCACCTGACTCTCAAATTACAGTCAGTCCTCACTTAGCAACGAGCTTCTTAAGCAACGGTTAGGACAGTGATTAAAGAGTGACATTCCTCCCATGTAGGACCTCTGCAGGTTTGCAAAGCAAAAGAAAAGCTGAAGTAAGATCGTCAGCACAGTTGCAGTTTTAGAAGAAAAACATTGGAAAGAGCCTTTAACCATGGAAAAACTGAAAGTAGATCTGTTTGTTTGCTTAAACCAGGAAAACCAGCTGGACGACCAGTTAATGAACTTGGCTCTTCTCAGTTCCCCAGAAGATATGATAGAAGCTGCCCGCTACTATGAAGGAAGAGGAGAACAAATGGACCAAGCTGTGACGCTCTACCACAAGGTATTCCTTCACCCCAGGGTGGATACAGAGTATAGAATATAACAGAGTTGGAAGGGACCTTGGAGGTCTTCTAGTCCAACCCCCCCTTGCTTGAGCAGGAGACCCTATACCACTTCAGACAAATAGCTGTCCAATCTGTCTCCTTAAAAACCTCCAGTGTTGGAGCTTCCGCAACTTGTGGAGGTAAGCCGTTCCACTAAATAATTGTTCTAACCGTCAGGAAATTTATTCTTATTTCTAGGTTGCTTCTCTCAATGATTAGCTTCCACCCATGGCTTCTTGTTCTGCCTTCAGGTGCTTTGAAGAATAGGTTGACCCCCCTGTTCTCTGCAACAGCCCTCAACTATTGGAAGGCTCTTACCAGGTCAACGCAAGTCCTTCTCTTAGTTAGACAGGACGCATCCAATTCCAGCAACTGTTAATCCTAGGGTTTAGCCTCCAGTCCCTTAATGGTCATCGTTGCTCTTCTCAGCATTCTTTTCTAGAATCTCAACATCTTTTTTTTTTTTTTTGGCTCTCATGGTAACCAGAACTGGACATAGCAGTGATTGAAGCTAAAACAAATCCTGCATCACCATGAAGAAACTTTCTCGAGGAAGATAAGAGGCTGCTAGAAACTCAAAATCTCTCTCTCTTTTTTTTTTTTTTGCTTGACAGGCTGGGCACTTGTCCAAGGCTCTGGAGCTGGCCTTTGCCACCGAGCAATTTGCAGCCTTGCAACTGGTTGCAGAAGATCTGGATGAGAAGTCTGACCCAACCCTCCTGGCTCGCTGCTCCGATTTCTTCATCAAGCATTCTCAGTACGAGAAGGCCGTGAAGCTGCTGCTAGCTGCCAAAAAGGTAATGTTGCATTTCAGATAGGTAGGTAGGTAGGTAGGTAGATGGATAGATGGATAGATATAGATTAGATATACATAGAGATAGATAGATAGATAGATAGATAGATAGATAGATAGATAGATAGATAAAGATAGATGGATAGATAAGATAGATGGATAGTTGGTTAGATAGATAGATAGATAGATAGATAGATAGATAGATAGATAATGGATGGATAGATAGATAGATAGATAGATAGATAGATAGATAGATAAGATATACATAGAGATAGATAGATATATAGATAGATAGATATTAGAGATTCTTTAGATAGAGATATTAGAGATAGATAGACAGATATATAGATAGATGAGTTAGATATAAGAGATATAGATAGGTATAGATATATAGATAGAGATATAATTATTAGATATAGATAGAAATATGATAAAGATATAGATAGGTATAGATATATAGATATAGATAGATATGGAAACATATGTCTTTGAATTTAAGTCAACCAAGAATGGGGTTTCTGTTTTCTTTTTTCCACCTTGTTTCTTTCGGTCTTCTGGTGCCTTTCCTATGCCAGTTTTGTTACTTCATGCCAAAAATCCTACACCTATTAAAGATGCGGATTCTTCTTTCAGTCATGTCCCAACCTGCAAGGTGGTGCTAGAAATCACAACTTTTCAGCGGTGGCTTACACCAAATAAGCTTGCCATTGAAGTTGGTGAGCATATTAAGGTGTCCTTCTCTTGCTGGAGGTCTTACCAGGCTGGGTGTGAAGCGCCCGGGAAATCAGGGGATCCAGGCAGTTCAAATGTATATAAATTTATTACAAGCTTAGGTTCTCTACAACAGCCGGTCATCAGGCAGATCATATTAGTGGTCTGTGGGATTTAAAATTATGAATGAATGGTCCCTGAGGTACGAAAGGTTGGTGACCCCTGCTCTACAAGAAGCTGACCAACTAGCGGTCAAGGGAAATGAGTGGGATATAAGGAAGGCATTCAAGGTGGGCTGGACTCGGAACTCTTGCGGGCACGCAGGGACTCGTGACTGATGACGTGCTTGACTCCTCCTTCAGGCTCAGCCTGGTCATGTCCCACATGGTGTAACTTGATTCTCTCCTCCTACCAGATGTTTTAGCTGAGTTGGCTCTTACCACCCTTCTCTCTGTGTCCCAGTACCAGGATGCCCTGCAGCTTTGCCTGATGCAGAACCTGACCATCACTGAAGAGATGGCGGAGAAGATGACCATTTCAAAGGACTCCAAGGAACTCTCAGAGGATTCCCGGCGGGAGCTCCTGGAGCAGATCGCCGACTGCTGCATGAGGCAGGGCAATTACCACATGGCCACCAAGAAATATACCCAAGCGGGAAACAAGCTGAAGGTAAGGTGGGAGAAAGGAGAGCCTCAGCTCCTTTAATGGTCCTCGACCTACGACCACAATTGAGCCGTCTGCAGGATATCGATATACGTGTATTCAATTGTTAGACCCAGTTCAACTGTCATGACGGAACATGACCTAAAGAGGCCCCTGCTTGGAGTCTGTATTGGATAGATGTTGTCATCAGAATAACAAAGTAGGAAGGGACGTTGGAGGTCTTCTAGTCTAGTGATCCCCAACCGGCGGGACAGAAAATTTTGGTGTGCGCAATGTCCCCCCCCCAAGCAATTAATCCAGGCTGCGCATGAACACATGCCCCACCTAACCTCTGGCGCCCCCACCCTTTGGCCGAGCGCAAACCTTACCTTGAGTAGAGCCACGCGAGCTGGAACTAGAAGGTAAGACCAAGGCAGGGGGAGGGAAATCCGCCCCGGGGTGGCTTGCTGACGTTGGTGGGAAAGTCGGTCCCATATTCCAGAGCTGCAGGAGTCACAGGACTGGCCCTTTGGTCATCCCGGAGCAGCTCCTCCAGTCCATGGCAGGCCGGTGCACCCGGGTGGAGAAGCAGTTGCTCCAGGATGACCGAAGGGCCAGTCCTGTGTTTGCTGCAGCTCTGGAATATGGATCCAACTTTCTCAACAAACGTCAGCAAGCCACCGTCAGTCAAAATTCATATTAGTGGTCCGCGGGATTTAAAACTATGAGTTTGGTGGTCTCTGAGGTCCAAAAGGTTGGCGGCCCCTGTTCTAGTCCAACCTCTGCTCAAACAGGAGACCCCATACCATTTCAGTTGGGTGTCCAATCTCTTCTTAAAACCTCCAGTGATGGAGCACCCACAACTTCGGAAGGCCAGCCGTTCCACTCATTAGTCGTTCATACTCAAGCTATACCGTGTTTGATTTTGACTTTTTGAACAGTATCAGAGCCATATGGGCTCTTTAATAAACCTTGTTTTAAACGAAGTGCTTAATGGGGGTTGAAAGATGTAGCGACTTATAAACATAACTGAAACACTTTAGGTCTTTGCATCCTACCTTCTTGCTCGCGCTTCCTGAAAAACAAGCGGCCTCAATTCTAACCCCCTTATGCTGGTCTGTGACCGTAATGAAGATTGGATTTGATGCCCCTCTACCCCTTTCGTTGTGTAGGCCATGAGGGCTCTGCTGAAATCCGGCGATACCGAAAAGATTGTGTTCTTTGCTGGCGTCTCGAGACAAAGGGAGATTTACATCATGGCTGCCAATTACCTGCAAACTCTGGACTGTCGCAAAGATCCAGAGATCATGAAGAACATCATCAGCTTCTACACCAAAGGAAGGGCTCTGGACCTCTTGGCTGGCTTTTATGACGCATGTGCTCAGGTGGGTGAGATCCTACCTCAGATCCTCCATGCCAACCATCCCAACTTGGGTCAGTTAGGGAAGAAAGACTCCTGGCCCATGATTAGCCAAAAGGATGCTTTACTAAAGCCATGGTGGTTACCGAAGAGGCAAAGCTGGATCTGAGATTTTCGCGCGCAAAAGATATAGTTAACTTTCCCTTGTTCTGGGCCAAACCCCGGGTTATCAGTCATTGTCCAATCAGGTGTTAACAAAATATTTAGGAAATGGTCCATCTTCACGCTTGCTTGCTGGCTCTGTTATTCTTTTGGTGTGACTGCCATGCCCCTGTCAGGATCTGATTCAGAGGCTGAGCAGCTGACAGGGAGTGGGAATGTGGCTCCATTGGCTGTGGAGGAAACTGGGGAAGGGCAAAGTCCGGCTGGGCCGAGCAGGGGAGAGGTAGAGCAAGGGAGAGGGGATTCGGAGGAAGACCCAGGCCCACGCCCTCTTCATCCTAGGGCACCCAGGGAGGAACGGAGAAGAGAGCAATGTGGGTTGCGTGGCTTAAGGGGGAGGAAAGGGCCCTGATTCCCTTCATTAACTGCAGCTGGGAACACAGTGTTTAAAAATGGAGTTTGCGTTCCAAAGCATGAATGAATAAAAGTATAGTCAAATGATTGATTAATAATGATACCAACGTATTTAATATTGGATTGAAAATATGAGATCATATACAATGTAATTGTAATTGAAGACTACGAAATGGAAGCACAAAACAATTTGTAAACCAACCGGCACACTGTATGTACATATATGGAAGATGGCCTGATGTTTTTATGTTTTGTTTGTTTATGTTTGTTTTAAAAAGCAATAAAAAATTTATTTAAAAAGGGGGGGGGGAGTTTGCGCACAGCAACTTGTTGGAAGCAAATCGTAGAGTTTCCTTTGTTTGCCAAGGCTTCTCTGGGTTCCTGGCGTCTTCCCAACTGTTGTGTGTTTTGCTGTGCTTTCAAGTCTGCAATTCCTTCTCCTGCCCTGTCAAGTTAATTCCTTCAACTTGGTTTGTGTGGATTTTTAGTTACAGTTTGTATGTACTTCATTTTCGGACTGAATTTCCTCCACTTAAAGGCTGTTCCTAAGAGTTTTTTCTCCAGCTGAAGGTAACCTGGACATTGAGGGCCAAGTTGGAGGTACTAAAGGGACTCTTCTTAATTATGTGACTGTGTTGTCTTTGTGCCACGCCCCTTTGAGTCATCATAATGACCTTTAGATGGCTGATGCTTCCCATCGTTTTTTCTCCCTACATTCTCTCCACACTGCTCCCGCCCCCCCATTACTGATGTCAGGCTGTCAGCTTGCGAGGCTTCGCTTAGCAGAACGGCAACCGGTCCCCAAGAGAAGCAGCAGAAGAAACCTTTTCCTCTTTCCTTCCTTGCAGGTGGAAGTGGATGAATTCCAGAACTACGAGAAGGCCCTGGGAGCCCTGACCGAGGCGTACAAGTGCATGTCCAAGGCAAAGACACGGAGCCCAGTTGAGCAAGAGAACAAGCTGGCGCACTTGCAGAGCAAGATGACCCTGGTGAAGAGGTTTATTCAAGCCCGGAGGTGAGGAGGAGCCCCCCCGAGTTCTTTACAGCAGCGTTTCCTCAACCTTGGGATCTTTAAGACGGGTGGACTTCAACTCCCAGAATTCCCCAGCCCCCAATGCTGCTTTATAGTACAGGGAGTCCTCAGCTGAAGGTCACAATCTTAAAAATCTCCAATGTTGGAGCAACCACAACTTCTTGAGGGCAAGTTGTTCCACTGGTTAATTGTTCTCACTGTCAGGAAATTTCTCCTTAGTTCTAAGTTGCTTCTCTCCTTGATTAGTTTCCACCCATTGCTTCTCGTCCTGCCCTCAGGTGCTTTGGAGAATAGCTTGGCTCCCTCTTCTTTGGGGCAGCCCCTGAGATACTGGAAGACTGCGATCATGTCACCCCCTGGTCCTTCCTTTCATTCAACTAGACATACCCAGTTCCAGCAAACATTCTTTGTATGTTTTAGCCTCCAATCCCCTAATCCTCTTTGTTGCTGGTATGTGTTTTTTTCCCCCTCTTAGGCTTTACTCCGAGGACCCCAAAGAGGCCATCAGGCAGTGTGAACTGCTCCTGGGAGAACCGGATCTGGACACCACCATCCGCCTGGGGGACGTTCTGGGATTCCTGGTGGAGCATCATTTGCAGATGCAAGAATTCCAGATGGTGAGCATCTCCAGGGCCCACAAGCCACTTCAATGATTCTTATTCAGCAGCGCCCACAGCAGAGGTGGCATCCAGCCGGTTCTGACCAGTTCTGGAGAACCGATAGCGGAAATTTTAAGTAGTTCGGAGAACCAGTAAATCCCACCTCTGACTGGCCCCACCAACCCCATCTCTTCTCTGCCTCCCATTGAGTCCCAGCTGATTGGCTGGGTCTCCTTTGGTTGCCCTGCACAGGAGAACAGAGCTGGAAAGCAGGTTAGTGGGGTGGGGAGGGAATGGGGATTGTGCAGTATCCTTCCCCTGCCACGCCGACCAAGTCACACCCACAGAACCAGTAGTAAAAAAAAATTGAATCCCACCACTGAACCACAGCCCTGTCCATTGCTATGGAACTGTACGGCTGCAGATGCTGGCGGGAGGACTTCATAATTAAATGCTTCTCTATGTTAAAAAATGTAAACATTCCTAGATTATTCTTCATTTTACTGTTTATGCCTGGCGTTGGTGTGGGCAGTACGTTTTCGTGATTCGCCTGAAATTTTGAGTGCTCGAAAAGTATATGCCGTTTTTATGTTATAGGATGTGTGGCAAAATAACTGCCAGAAAGTCGTACTGTGTTCAATTGTTTTAATGTTTATTCAATCTTTTTTTTTTAAAAAAAAGTATATACTGCTATTATAGGTAGCCCTTGAATTAGGACCATAATTGACCCATCGTTAAGTTGCGGGAGTCATAAAACAGGTCACCGCCTGATCAGGCCCAATTTTATGACTTTCATGGCAGTCGTTAAGCGAGCCCCCCTGTTTGCTATGGGGCATTTTTTGCTCCATAGTGGTAAAGGAAAAATGTCATAAATCGGTTGTGACTATGGGGTGCTGGCAACTCTTAACGTGGACCATTTGCTGAACACTCAAAATACAGTCAGGTGATTGGAGAGGTGACGGACCAGAGGTGGTATTCAGCAGGTTCTGACCAGTTCTGGAGAACCGGTAGCGGAAATTTTGAGTAGTTCGGAGAACCGGAAAATCCCACCTCTGACTGGAGATTTTACAGTAACCTTCCCCTGCCACGCCCACCAAGCCACATCCACAGAACCGGTAGTAAAAATTTTGGAATCCCACCACTGTGACGGACACCAGAAGTTTAAATCTGGATCGTAAGTAGCTTTTTCAGGATCCATTGTAACTTTAGTCACTAAGCAACCTGTACTTCTAATTTTCTCTATGTAAAAGTAGGGAGATTCCAGATACCATGCAAGAGATTCTCCTATTTGCCTTTTGCAGATTTTTTTTTTAAATTTCTGAATCCCCACGTCTCTTATCCATCCTGAATAACTGTCAGTCTTTGGTGACAGGACCTGGGGAGAGGTGTATAAATGCAATCAATTCAGGCCTCGCTGTGCTACAGTATTGTGGTACCTCTTCTCCCCCACCTGGATGGACTAGGACAGAGGAAGTCAGAGGAAACAATTATGCAGGGCCATCTGGAGAAGAGATGATTCACACGCTTCCAGCAGGAAGCGTCCGCATGGCCCACTTTCAAACAGGGAAGCCAGAATTACCAGGCCAAAAGGAACCGCTCTTCTCAAACCCCCCAGGTGCTCTCTAGCGTTTGAGCGGAGAAGAGACAGCGTTAAAATACGCAGCAGATTCAGCGTACGGCTGTGTGCCTTATTTTGTTGGGAATGAGAGTTGGAAGAAATTGTAGAAAAGACCAGCACAGCGAGTTCCACCTCTTTCCCATTCCCATGGCTGTCCTGGATTAGGGATTAAGGTTGCACCAAGGCTTGTGTGATTGTTCTTGTGTAGGCCTTCACGACAAAGGCTTCTAGGTTGGGGAGTTGATGGAGTTGTGCTAATTGCAAATGAACATGGATGTTTAACTTTAAAAAAACAACAACCCCAATTCCACAGGTTGGGTTGGAAACCGATTTATGGATTATTAGCCTGTTGTGTGAAGCCAGGTGATTGCTGATTGCTTTACAAACCATGGCTTAGCTCCATGTCTTCTTTCTGCGAGCTCTGTTGTTGACAAGAGAAATTGGTTCTCTTCTCGGCTTAAACGCACTAGAGGTAGTCCTCCACCTACAACCACATTTGAGCCCTGTGGCTAGGCAAGACAGCCTTTAAGTGAATTTTGCTCCGTTTTAGGACCTTTCTTGCTGCACCTGTTACGCAAATCACTGCAGTTGTTAAGTTAGTAACACAGCTGTGAAAAGAACCTGGCTTCCCTGTTGACCTTGCCCGTCAGAAGGTCACTCGCTAAAGGGGATTGTATAACCCCGGGACACGGCAACCGTTATAAATATGAGCCAGTTGCCACGCATCCAAACTTTGATCACGTCACCCTGGGGATGCGGCAGTGTCCTAAGTGTGACAAACAGTCATAAGTCACTATTTTCAGTGCTGTTGTAACTTCGGTCGCTCAACAAATGGTTGTACAAGGACCGCCTGTATGTATTAATCCAGGGGTCCCCAACCTCTGGTCCGTGGACTGGCAGGGGGCCACGGCATGCCAGTAACCGGTCCGTGCAAGCAAGCGAAGCCCCATCCGCGGGATGGAGGCAGCATGCAAAACCACGCCTCCTCCGGTCCGCAGAAAAAAACTTTCTCCGTGGAACCGGTCCCTGGTGTCCGAAAGGTTGGGGGCCACTGTATTAATCCAGAGTGCAAAGTAAGTTGGCCGAGGCCTCTCCGGCCTCTTAAGCTTTCTGGGTTGGCCTCGGATGGTGGTAGAACAGCCTGTGAACACGATCCCTCCTTTTTCAATCAGGCCTACCGGTACCTGGAAGACATGCGGAAGAAAATCCCCTGCGTGAATCTCAACTACTATGTGAGCCAGCAGACGGTCGAGGCCGTGCACAGAGGGCTGGGCATCCCCCTCGGCCGAAACGCTGCTCCAGAGAGGCTTCGCCACAACAGCGTGGAGGACAAGGAGATCGAAGAAGTGGCCGACGAGGCCGAGCCCTCCTGAACAGTTCAGCGGGGACTGGAGGGGGGGGGCAGAGCGCCGTGTTCCGGGCGTGGTTAGGAGAAAGACAAAATGGACTCCGCCTTGCTCTGTTGTAATCTTTGTGATCCAGTCGATCCTTGGAATCTGGGAGGTGTTCAGCATTCCCAAAGCCACAGGTTTTTACATCCCTTTTTCAAATACTCCCGAGACGGTTTTGAAGAGATCTTCCTATTTGTATTAAATATTTTAGATACACAACTCGCTTGTGTCTTTTTGTGCGGCCTTAAGTCTGAAGAACAAGAGGTTGGGAATGGCAGAATAGTAGTACAAACTAGCAGGCGTAAACTAAATTCCAGGCAATCTTAAAAGGCTCCAGTCTGGATCGGCCCACTGGGACCAGAGATTTAGTCTTCCGAGCTTTTGCACTTATGCTGAAGCCCATCCTAAGGGAACTTCTCTATCAGAACGTGTGCTTTATGTGTAGTATTTATGTGATACCTGGTAAGATGTGGCTTCTTATTGGTTGATTGGGGTGTTGATGGCCGGCTATTGGCTGTTGTTTCCTTGGGCTGCCAAGTCCTTGGCTCCTCGGTAAACCGTTATTAAATCAGCATTCCTGTTGACTGTTTTGCAGGCATCAAGTCATTTCCCTGGATGTTTTTGTACCTGCTCAGCCAACAATCTGAGTAGCTGTGAAATTGAATGCATGTCCTAAAAGGCTTTCCTGTTAAGAAAAGATCCCCTTATACAGTATTTGTCAAGAGGATCCACTTTCTTTGGCCACAGAACCCTTTGTAGAAAACGGACCCTTTAGGAAAATTGAGCCTGTCCTAGCTCAACATGGCTTTTAATAAAGTTTTCCCACCTTTATTTGGCTCGGGGGAAATACACTGTCCAGCTCACTCTACTTCAACACCCAGAGGATGGGCATCATTCATTTTGTACTTGGAGCAAATGTGGGGTTTTTTTCCCCCTCTGGAAAAATGTCCTGCAGTTCTAAAACTTTGCTTTGGACTTTCAGTAAATTGGCCAAGACCATTAAATAACTAGGACCAAATGTACATGTCAGTTAGCCACAACAGGTTGTAAGTGCCACACGGAGCCCAGATATCTCTCCTTTCCAGCTCCGTGCTCTTTTGTCCCTTTCTCGTAAAGGCCTGGGGACATTTGCAGCCACCCAGCTTTTTAGAGAGTATCTTTAGGAGCAAGCGGTCTTATAACGCCAGAGCAGCTGTTTCAAGCTTTTTTTTTTTCAAGTTTTCCATCAGGAGCAGATTCTGCATCGCTAAATTTCTGCAGTCCCCATCTGGGTCCTTCTCGGCGACATCTATTTAAAAAGAAAAAAAAAAGGAAGAGACAGAGAAGAGAGAAAAACCGACTTGAGGAAATTCCTGTGAAGCATTAGTCGAACTGTCAAGCGGAGGAACAATAAACGGAAGTGAAGCTGGATACGAAAAGGGTATTCTGAGTTTGAGTGCATTTTATTTAGCAACTTTTATGGCATTGTGTTCTTCCCCTTACAATCGTTAACTTTCTTGGCAGTCAGATCAAAAAAATAATAATTCTATTTTTTACACCACAGATAGTCCTTGACTTACGACCACAAGGGAGCCCAACATTCCCGCTGTTAAGTGAGACATCAGTTAAGTGAGTTCTGTCCCATTTTACGGCCTTTCTTGCCACAGTTGTGAAGTGAATCAAGGCAGTTGGTAATGTTAGAAACCCCATCATTAAGTGAATCCATTGGATTTGCTTGTCAGAAGGTCACAAGAGGTGATCGCATGACCCCCAGGGACACAGCAATGGTCATAATATGGACTCATTGCCAAGCCTCTGGATTTTGACATGGTCATGGGGATGCTGGAAAGATCGTAAGTGTGAAAAACGGCCACAAGTCACATTTTTCAGTGCCGCTGTAACTTTCAGCGGTCATTAAATGAACTGTTGTAAGTCAAGGACTACCTGTATTCTCCCTGGCCACGTGGCTGAGTAAATATTGAGGATGTTCTGGTTCTCATAAACATGATTTTCATCGGAAATATAAGTAACTTCTTGTTGTTGGTTCTCCCAGTAAATACCTTTTTCTGCGAAATATTAGTCGTTATAGGGATTTGGGCATCCTTCCAATGAAGATGCATTTATTTATATTTCATATTTCTTACTTGCCATCTCCCTTCGATATGGCATCCAAGAGGTGAATGGTGGACTTCTACTTTTGATCTCTCAGAGGTGCCTTTATTAAAATGGACATCAAGTCTGCAATAAGAAACTCGAAACAGCCTTCCCCAACCTTGGACAGCCAATTGAAATGGGATAGGATCTCCTGTTTGAGCAGGGGTTGGGCTAGAAGACCTCCAAGGTCCCTTCCAACTCCAGTTATTCTGTTATTCTGATTGACCTCAGCAAAGCTTCTTCAGCTATGAAGAGATATGCACTCCTTTGTATGATGATGCATAAACAGTCCTTTTGGACATAAATGGTCCAAAATACAAAAAAAAAAAAAACAACAACCCACCTATTATACAGCAATGAATCCAATCCTTTTCTTCAGCCCCCGCCCCCAGAGATCAAAATATGGGGAACGGAGTTCCCACGGCCTTTCCCCACAATTGTAACGGTTGAAAACTAGGAGAGTTTTCTGCAATTTTGAGGGAGGAAGCACATGGAAAATTTAACAGTGTAATCCCCAAAACTTTAAACAAATACAACAACAAAAAAAACCCTTTTTCAGGTTAAACTCTTAGTTCAGCCCTTGCCTATGAGATGTCCTCCCCACTTCATCGCTACAAGAGGATGATGGCCTGCCCTCTCTCTCAAATTTGGGTTACAGGCCGTATCTAAGGCAGCCAAAGCTTGCCCCAAAATTGGTGCTTTGAATGCTATGCAGAAAACCTAAGAGAAATCAAAATGACCGATGTCTATGGAGATTCTCAAGTCATCCAGTTCATGGTTGCCCCGGAGGTGCTTTTTACGCAAGAGGCAACTGGACTTTTCTTATTTTTCTTCGAAGACGTTTCGCTTCTCCCAAAAACATCAGCACAGCTCCAACTTCTCCATGAAAATCAGAGCGGAAGAAGCTGCGTGGATGAGAAGCGAAACGTCTTCCAAGGAAAACCAGAAAATCCAGTTGCCGCTTTTCTCCCAGGATGATGGGTGCCTTTCTACTCTTCACCCAACAAGGATGCAAAAGCCGCCATGAAACACATCTCAATCTGCTCGAGTTCTGGACCGAGACAGCTGTTGGTAGGAGGTTTGGAGGGGGGGGGAACAAGTGTGTGTGTGTGTGTGTGTGTGTGTGTGCAGCCTGGCATCTTTGTTCCCGATCCGCCTGCGACGTGGAAACCAGGATATGAGACCAGCAAAGTCCCCAAAAGCGTGAGGATATCCTGTGCGCCTAAGTCGAGCGCTCGACTCCAGCACCAGGTCAGGCTGGGTACATGACTCACTCCCACAGCCCCCGCTCTCTCTCTCTCTCGCTAAAGCGGCAGGAGACTTTGAGAAACCGGAGCTAAGGGCGCAGGAAAGGCCATCCTCTACAAGTGCTCCCGAATTACGCCAAACTGCTAAACAAATCAAAAACATTGGGGTTTTGTTTCAATGCTAGGGACCTCAACCGAAGGGCCAATTCGCTCTGCTCTATTTTCTGCCTCTTCTGCCCGCTGTCAACCCTGAAGTCGGCTGAACGGTGGCCATTTTCTTTTTTTATAGCTTTCCTCTAGGGAGGTGTCTCTTCTCACTGCTTCAGGGCTGACACAGCCTGGCGCTAAAGGGACAGGGAGGTGGGAGGTGTAGAGATAGCTGGGGTGCTGTAGCCAAAATAAAACTATTTCCCCTGGGAATCAAGGACGTTGGTGCAGGTGTTCGAGAGGTGGAGACTGAGGTCACCTAGCAACCGGACGACATGGTGATTGGACCGTGTGACTGGAGACTCTGGAGGGGAAGTGACAAAGTTTAACTTTCAACTGGGTGTAAAACCGGCGGGAACTTAGAGCTGGTTTTTCACCAAGAATGTGCCACTTTGATATGTCCCAATAAAAATGTTCTGGGAGGAATTTGCCTGCCTCGGAGTTCTTATTGAGTGGGATGTACCTTGACATCCGCTTCTCTTGTTAGTCTGGAAGTTCCTGTGAGAAATTTACTTTTATTTTTTTTTTACAAAATGTCACGTCAGCGTTCAACAGTTGTAGCATTGTTCTACGGTACCCCGCCGACAAGCAAAAACGTTCATCTTCCATGTTGGCTGTACAACAGAATAACAGAGTTGGAAGGGACCCTTGGAGGTCATCTAGTCCAGGGGTCCCCCAACTCCCAGGCAGCAGACCAACACTGGTCCATAGCCGCCACCCCCAGGAACTGGGCCATGCAAGCAAGCGAGGTCATGCCACTCATGCCTCAGAAAAAAAATGCTCTCAATGGAACCAGTCCCTGGCCCCCCAAAAGATTGGGGGCCGTTGTTCTAGCCCACCCCCCTATTCATGCAGGTGTCAGGGTTCCAGGTAACAGACCCAACACCATCAAACCTCTTGAGGCCCAGGTGTTCCTCAAAGTACAGATTTATTGGCATATCGGGTGAAAAGCTGACTCTGAAATCACGCCCTGGTCAGCACCTCTTTCCTTCAGCCAGCCGAACAAATAGGCTGGAAAATAGCTTTTATCCGTGGACTGTCAGACTTCTGAACGCAACATAAAACACCACAATTAGGTTTAATATGATAGACTTGCAGGGCCACCACAACGTGCAACACGTTCATACCAGTGTAATATAATATAATGTTACATACATATAGATATAGGGGAATGTGTGTTAGTTATTACTTATTTGGGTTTAGGGATTCTATTTCTTTCATTTATTGAGTTATTCAGGTGTATTTGGGGGGGGGGGGGGGGGGGGGGAGGCTGCACCAAGGCAGGCTCATTTCAGTGTCATTGTACACGTTTGTGCATTGACAATAAACGTTTGATTTGATTTGAGGTCCCACGGTTTTCCCCACCCAAATTAAAAGTCAAAAGTTCTTTTCCCCCCAGTCCACATGTCCATCACACAGTCCAATCTGGTCACAGCCTCAACCCCAGCTGGTTCCAGTCCACGCCTTCCCAGCGCCTGGTGAAATTGTCCTTGGTTCCCAGGAGACAGAATTTTATTTCGGTGACAAGTCCCCGGCTATCTCTATTCCCACCTGGTTCCCACAGCTCCTGCTGGGGCACCCCTGAAGAGGCTCCCAAATGGCTGACAGCAGGAGGCCCTATTGATGAATCTTACACTCCCCACAGGACAAAACTCTTCCACCCGGAGCATCGAACGCCCCGTTTTTTTTGCCCCGACTCCTGACTGGCTCCAAATGTAACTCTCGTTCCTTTCAGTTCAGACGTTCAGTTGAAGACAGTTAAGGGGTTCCCCCAACTTGGCAACTTTTTAAGACCTGTGGACTTCAACTCCCAGAAGTCTCCAGCCAGCTATGCTTCTGGGAGTTGAAGTCCACGAGAGGCCAAGTTTGGAGACCTCTGAGATTGCTGACTCGGCGAGGTCGGCCCAGAGGAGGAGGAAAGCTGCTTTCTCCGTCGTGTCATGGGAAAGGAGGAACTCTTGGTGGCCTCTTCCCTTTTAAGGGCACAGGACATGGGGCTCCCGAGGCAGGGATCAAAGGACCGGCTTTGTCAAACGTTGCTTCCTCTCCGTCCCCACCCACCCACCCCCCGTGGGAAGCCGTCTCGCTTCCTGCCGATTCCTGGCATCTCACCCTGCTTCGGGAGTGAGAGGTGCTCCAGGCCCCATGCTTGGTGACCTTCTGGCCACACGGAAGATCCCGTCGTCCATTGCCTCCCAGAGCTTTTAGCGCCAGGAGAAACCGGCCTAGTTGGAGGATGTGCCAAACTCGCTATCCATTCTGAGGAAACGGGCTTCTGCCCAGCCTCAAACCACACACACCCCAGCTGTGTTTATTGTAAAGGTAGCCCAATTTCGGGGCAAAATGGCTCCTCTTGAAAGGACCGACGGCTGGTGCAAACAGGCCTCGGCTGTGCTCCGTAGGAGAAGCTATTTTGCATCTCCGTGAGATCAGAGCCAGTAGTGGGATTCCAATTTTTTTCCTACCGGTTCTGTGGGTGTGGTGTGGCTTGGTGGGTGTGGCAGGGGGAAGGATATACTGCAAAATCCCCATTCCCTCCCCACCCCCCTAACCTGCTTTTCAGCTCTGTTCTCCTGCACAGGGCAACCAAAGAAGATCCAGCCGATCAGCTGGGACTCGATGGGAGGCAGAGAAGGGATGGGGGCGGGGCCAGTCAGAGGTGGGATTTGCCGGTTCTACGAACTCCTCAAAATTTCCGCTACCGGTTCTCCAGAACCGGTCCGGACCGGCTGAATACCACCTCTGATCAGAGCCACTGCAGGCAGATCTTCTCCACTACATACAGATAGTCTTCGACCAATTGGTGGCTGGGGAAAAAAGGAACTTATGGCCGTTTTTTCCACACTTACGACCCTTGCAGGTCACGTGAGTTACATTCGGACGTTTGGCAGCCGATTCACATTTATGACGCTTGCCGTGTCATGGGATCCCCTTTTGCGACCTCCTGACAAGTGAAGTCCATGGGGAAAGCCAGATTCGCTTAACGATGGTGCTGCTAATTTAACAACCGCAGGGATTCGCTTAACAACGGTGGCGAGGAAAGTCGTAAAACGGGCGAGGCTTGCCAAATGAAGGTCTCACTTAGCCACAGAAACATTTGGGGGGGGGGGTCCGTTGCGGTCATAAGTCGAAGACTACCTGTATTATGGCCTCAGAACTCCTGGACCAGCCAAGCTGGTTGAATCTACTGATCTTCTGGCAGATGGCAGAGTTTCTAATTCTGGCAAAAATGTTCCTTTCCCAGATGGATCTCCTTCCTGTCTCGAGGTTGAATTGCTAACTCTCTTTTGCTGCCTCCAGCTCCCTTTTCAACGGCAGCTTCTCTCAGACTTGTTTAAGAAAAAGGTTAGCTGAGATACTTTTTAAGAAGTGCATTCAAATTCCAGCGTTTCAACCTTAGTTGTGTCTGCCTTTGCACACCCAACTGCTTTGGTTGGGCTTAGCAATGCCATTGATCTCACTGATTTCTCCCCCGTAGCAGTTGTCTCAGGTTGGCACTGAAAATGAGCTGTGCCTAGCTAAAGCTTCAATGAAGATAACAAAAAGTTTGTAACCTTCTCCTTTCCAATGGCCCTGTTTCCCCAGTTTCTTCTCACCTGCCAGCCAGGCTTGAGTCTCTAGAATTTCCTCCGTCATGTCATTCAGAAGGTACTCAGCAGGTACACTGAGGAGTATGGAGGAGACTGAAGACAGAAGGCCATGCCGCACGTATCTGCAGAAGGATGAATGGATGCAGGAATAGCAAGAGCTCTTAGACTTATATACCACTTCACAGTGCTTTTATAGCCCTCTCTAAGCAGTTTACAGAGTCAGCCTCTTGCCCCCAACAACCTGAGTCCTCATTTTACCGATCATGGAAGGATGGAAGGCTGAATCAACCTTGAGCCTGGTGAGATTCAAACTGCCAAATTGCAGGCAGGCAGCAGAAGTAGCCTGCAGTACTGCACTCTAACCACGGTCCCATCACAGCTAATCAGCAATAGCCCTTAGACTTATATACCACTTCACAGTGCTTTTACAGCCTCTCTAAGCGGTTTACAGAGTCAGCCTCTTGCCCCCAACAATCTGGCTCCTCATTTTACCCACCTCGGAAGGAGGGAAGGCTGAGTCAACCCTGAGCCTGGTGAGATTCGAACTGCCAAATTGCAGGCAGACGGCAGGCAGCAGAAGCAGCCTGCAGTATTGCACTCTCACCACTGCGCCACTGTGTCTCAAAGAACAGGCCATATTATTTTGCTACTGAGAATACCAGCCCAGTGCCTGAATGTCTATTTTGCATTCTAAAGAACCCCGCCTTTGTACGTCTGGATCGAAATCCCCATTTTTTTTAAACTGGTCTTATAGAGTAGGAAATATTACAATGCCCACAAGTTACAATAAAGCACCTTTCCTAAGGGATGCACCCTTATGAAAAATTCAGAACGAAAAAGGAACAGAGATTCCCAAAAAAAAAGCTACTCTACGTTCTCTTGACTTCTATGGATGGAAACTAATCGAGGAGAGAACCAACCTAGAACTAAGGAGTAATTTGCCGAGAGTGAGGACTATCAGTGGAATGAGTTGCCTTCAGAAGCTGTGGGCACTCCATCCTAGGAGGCTTTTAACAAGAGATTGGACAGCTATTCATCTTGAATAGTATAGAGTTTCCTGCTTGGGGTTGGACTAGAAAACCTCCAAGGCCCCCTCCACAATACTGTTATTTTGTTATTTTGACTTTTGTAAAAACTAGAGGAAGGCAGTAACGGCTTCAAATTTTTCCCTTGGCTTCAGGCTTTCCACTCTCTCTCTCTTTTTTGTAAATTTATTTATTTATTTATTTATAAATAAAATAAAATATAAAAGGCTTTCCACTCTTAATGGCCATTCCTTTTCTGTACTGGAGAAAAAGGAACATTCAGAGCTTTAGTGAAGATTGGAGATCCAAGAACAGAAAAAAAAAGAGGAAATTAGGCTGAGGTGAAGCAACTGAAACATTTTGTTCTTCTAGGCTATAGATTTTTCCTGTACTTTTCAAATTCACCTAGGTCAGTCTCTCTGCTAGCTGGGGAAATTTGAGAGTTGACATCCACCCATCTTAAAGTCCCCGAGAAACACAGTTTTAGGTATTCACAAAAACTTACGTGTCGGTGTGGAAACGCAGAGCCCAGACAAACTCCAGCAATGCCTTTCCCATTGCAGGCGTTATCTACCCGAGAGAGAGAGACAAAAAACATGTAAGAAAATACAGTGAGGGAAAAAGAGAAGAATCCCAAGGAGATGCAGGTAATGGAAACCAAGATGGTCTGGGATATGAGGCATCCTCAGGCAGAAAAACCAAAGAATGATAACGTTAACACGAAGGAAAGGGTTCAGCTGCTATTTAATCATAAGGAAGCTGAGATGGGCCATGTGTCAACTCGTAAAGCATTCCTATGCCTGTTTTCGAGGTGCCATAAACAAGGGGAGGGGGAGGAAATCTGAAGGAGCAGTAGGCAGTTTAAAACCAGAAGTACATTCCACCCTTATCTTACAAAGATTGTAGCTAGGCTACCGGATCTTCTGCCCATGAAAATCCTTCACTGGAGAACATGATTGATGACACCCAGCCCGGTGAAAGTGGTTTATTGGAGAATCTGATTTATGATACACCCAGGGAAGAGGGGGGGGGGAAACAGGGTCACAGGTGACTGTAAATTACGTATGCCAGAGTTGGCTTCATTGAGGTCAATGCCAACATGTTGCTCCTAATAAATCTTTTGAATTCTTTTGAAGCTTGGCCTGAGGCTCATGATTTAATTAGGGCAATCGCCGGAACCCTGACACCATGTCCATTCTACCTAAGGCCTTGGTTTCAGGCAATAGGAGCTGTGTCCACCCTCTGAAGGTTCCCATGCCCCCAATGGCAGAGGGAGCAGAGGCCACTAAGGGCTTTCAAAGCCCATGAGAAAGCTCTCCATTCTTCTCACCGCAGCATGGAGAGCAAAGTACATGAGAATCGCCAACGTGTGCACCAGTCGTCCTAGGACCAGGTGATCGTCCCCCAGAAGGTCAAAAGTGGTCAGAGGCCTGGAAGGCAAAGAGAAAGCACATGTTTTGATTGGCTTAGCAAGCCATGGGCCGGGCAACAGTTCCACTTGAGGTTCACCTCGAATCATCTGAAGCTCAAGGTGATACAGAGGTGGGGAACTATGACCCCTTTTTGACTCTTGGACTTCAACTACCAGAATCCCTGAGCGAACCAACATGGCTGGCTCAGGAATTCTGGGAATTGAAGTCCACAAGTCATAAAAGGGCCATAGTTCCCCATCCCTGATGTAATAGGCTATGGTAATCACACAATTTTGTTGCAGAGCAGGGCTGTCACTCAGGGCCAAAGCCTGATGTGTCACATGCTGGCCCGGCCCACACCCAGTTTAGCAAAGGGGAAAAAAAGTCGTGATATGTCACATTGCCATCATGGCGAGTTTGACACCTGTGTTGTAGAGGATTTGCAAGGGTTGTGCAATGCTTCAGAATAACAGAAGAACACCTATACAGCTCTGGCTTGTGGCCCATTAAAAGAGTAGCAGAACTTTCCTGGATTGCATATGATCTGCAACTCATTAAAGCAGCTGCATCCCAAAGAGGAAATCTGTTCCAAAAGGACCTGAAGATTGAGGTGGCCTCACCTGTCAAAGTTCCGAAGAAGTGGGAAGAAGAAATGGCCAGCAATTGGAGCAAACTGGTTAGGAGTGCCCAACTGTTCTGCTTGGAACCGGCCCTGTTTCAAACAAAGAATAAGGGTTGGATACCAGGCAGAAAGAGACACTTTGACAATAGGACATGTGGAGTTCTCCCTTCCCACATAGACCTATAAAAGAGTTTCTTTGCTTGCAAGAGATTGTTTTGTATTCGGTCAATGCCCTTATAAGCATGGGAAACAGGAAAGAGGTTGAAAAACCCATATTTCTTTTCTTTTTTAAAAAAATCCATTTGTAAAGCTGCCCATCTTAACAATTTACTCTGGGTGGTAGCAAACAGAATAAAAACAAATGGATCCTGAGGACAAAAAATATGTAGCAGCCAAGAAAAACAACACAGTAAACAGCACAAGAGGAAGGTCCTTTCTGGTGGCCCCAGGTCAGGCCCCACACCACGTCTTCAGGGACCAACCCTCCACCACATCCCCTTGCCTTCTCCTTCCCTACTTCTATCAAATGTTCTCACTGTTCATCAACGGTCATCCTTTGGGTCCCGATTCTTAGTAACTTGGATTCCAGGATGTAGATTAACTAACTTGGCATCCAGGAAGTGCTGAATAAGCTCCCATCATTCCACTAGTGTGGAAGAATTAAGGCTGAGGACATCTGACTAGCCCACTTACTGAATGAAAGGACCAATGACTGAGACAGTATCAGGCGACACAATGAAACCCAATCAAGTTCAATATTTGCTTACACCTAAAAGACAGAATCTTGCCAGACTAAAGCTATGATTTTCTAACCTAAAGGATGGATCCTGAAAAATTGCAGGGTGTGGCTACCCTAATCCTCTTCCTCCTTCCCTCATTCAGCTCAGGATTATCCAATCTATTATTTTGGGCTTTTCTCTGGAATGTGCTGTCTTCCCCTTGGGAAACTGTGGAGCTGCTGAGATTCCCCACCTCCTTCTGCAGGTCAACATTTCATCACGCGGGGATTGAGTTGGAAGTAGAGAGAAGTACAATGTTCTACAAGGCAGGATGTTAGGTACAAGAATAAGTACCACCCATAGGTTGTGTTTGACTCCAGAGCCATTTTTTGGTGGCCTTCGGTCCTGCTGAATAAAGACCAAGTGGTTCAACCTGGGCGGTTGTGGGACGCTTAAGAGATTGATGAGGTTAAAGGTTACACCCAGTGGATTTTCCTGGCCCACCTTTGCAAATCTTCGGGTCTTGCTTCTAACCCTCTCCTCCACCACTTTCTTCCAGTCTGGAGAAGAAGAGTTATGAGAGATGATTTGGATACTGGGGTGACTGGCATTTGGTTTTGAGGGAGATGAAGCTGGTCGAGACAATTCCTGGGCAGACACGGCCAACACCTGGATGGAGAAACCAGAAGCTAGGAGTAGAAAGATGGCTACAACAAGCATCTTACAGCTGCCACGGCTGAGAAAGACTGAATTAAACCATCTCTGGCAGGTAGCTCTCAGCCTCTTCTTTGCCATCTCCAAAAATTGGAGAACTCGCCGCCTCCATAGATATACCATTCTCTTGTTGCACAGATTTTCCCATTAGAAACTTTATCCCCCTTTATATATTCACAGGAAATTGAAAATGACTCTAACTTAAACAGTTTCTGAAAGCAGGAGTCACCTACATCCAGGATGTCCATCCGTTGACGCAGACTGTAATTCAGGGAGTAGAATTCTGAAGTTAAATATTTGGCCACCTAGAAAAACAAGGAGACAGAGCATTTCTTCAGATGTTTATCATGGCTTCTGCGTTTTTCAGTTCTCCCTTTATTTATTTTCAGGAGTGACAAGGTAGGTACAAAAGGCAGGGCAAAGAATTCCAGTGGCAACCTTAGAGTTGCTTTGTGTCCTAGAACTTGGAATTCCTTGCTCCTTCCTAGAAGGACTCACGAGCCCTGCCCTTCTAGCGCTGAGTTTCTCCTGCTCTGGAGTGTAGGAAGAGGGACGCTGTACCCCTCCAGAGAGTGAACTGGACCTCCTTGTGTGAAGTTAAGCTAGCAGAGTTTTCCACAACCCAGGGGTGGGATTCAACCGGGGCGGGTGGGCAGGCCCAACAGCTGATCGTTGGAGCTACCAGTTTGCCCGAACCAGCCCGAACCGGTGGAATCCCACCCCTGCCACCCCCCCACCCATAGAGCGCCAAGAATTCTGCACCCTTTCCCCCAGCTGCTTAGCTAACCTCACTACAAGATTTTGAATCCTTTCACCCAACGGTCAACACAAGGACTTACTCGGATGGGGTCTGCGACAGTAACAGCCACCAGGGCACCTTGCCGGAGCCCCACGAACCCTTCGATGTAGCTCTTCTCTTCCAAGTGGAGCAAGACTTTTGCCAGTTCCACGCTCATCTGTGCAAAGAGGAACACAATCCAGAGGCCATCCTGAATTTACTATGGAATTTACCCTACACGCTCAATTTAATTCAGGGTAAATTCATGGCCCTGGAACGGGCTATAGAGTGCTGGGTGGCGGAAGACAACTTTATGACAACTTCCTGCTGAATCTAGGGGACGCTGCAATCTGAGGAAACAGCAACTCCACCTTTCCATGTTAATGAAATATCTCACCTACATTCTACAAAGCAAATTCGGAAGCCTGTCCTAAAGTAATTGTTTGGGTCATCAAGGGGCATGCACAAATTCCAAAAGAGCACCATTGGCCTCTCTCTTCTGGTTAAACCAAAAAAACTACAGACACAGTGAATAAACCACGATTTATCCTCCAGACAGATATAAGCCTCCTATCCTTAGAGATTTTTTAAAATGCATTTTGAAGGAAACGCATTGTGAATCAACTGATCTGTGCTGCAAACACAATTACTGAACTCCTCAACTCGTCTATCCCCCGCCCCCCACACACTGATACTTCCCCTGATAATATATATCTTGTATAAACTCTCTGTGCATTATACTTATATTCAATATGTTCACAAACACTCTGTACAGTTGTATATATTCCTTCCATAGATATATATTCTGTATGTTCATAGATATTCTGTATATAGTTATATATTTTGTATATCTGTATTTATATATTTATACTTCATTGCTGTTTTACACTTCTGGTTAGATGCTAACTGCATTTCGTTGCCTGTGTTCATGTGCAATGACAATAAAGTTGAATCTAATCTAATCTCCACTACTTAACAGGATAACAGAGTTGGAAGGGACTTTATAGGTCATCTAGTCCAACCCCCATCCACCCAAGCAGGAGACCCTACACCATTTCTGACAGGTGGCAGTCCAGTCTCTTCTTGAAAGCTTCCAGTGATGAAGCTCCCGCCACTTCTGAGGGCAACTTCTGTTCCACTGGTTGATTCTTCTCACAGACGCCTTCCCACAATTCAAAGGAAGGAGTTCACTTTTTTTTCTCCTTTTGGGTCCATTTTCAACCCTACCTTTTAACCCAGCTGGTTTTAAATGACCTATAAGTAAGACTAGTTTGCTGGGTTGAACAAACCAATACGTTATGGTTAATGTAATATGGGGGGGGGGGATTCCAATTCCCTTTTTGGCACCCCGAGACTCACTTCACACATTGCTTCTCCCCCTTAAGCCATGGTTTAGCAGGCAGTCTGAAGTGAGTCTTGAAAAGTCTTTCATGAAGAGAGTGCTGTTAATTAAGCCTTAACTTATATATAGGTACTATTTCTTGTCATTTTTTTTTCTTTCTCTTCAAACGTATCTCATAGGCCGCCAGGACAAGTCTTTGAACTATTCTTGGCAAGATAATCAGAAGTGGTTTGCCGCTGCTTCCATCCTAGGGCTGGGAGAGAGTGGCTGGCCTAAGGTCACCCGGCTGGCTTTGTGCCTAAAGTGGAACTGGAACTCGCAGCTTCCCAGTTCCTAGCCTGCTGTCTTAATCATGACACCAAACTGGTTCTCTTCGTGTTATTAACTATGGCTATAAAATAATTATTACCCCACAGGAAATCCCTAATCCATAACAACCCCAGCTGACAACTTCCAAATCCAAACTTCTATGCAAAGAGGCACAAACTGCATTTACCTCTTGAGTGGTGGCTGTGTCCCTCCGGATCAGAGTTTCCAAGACACCCAAAGTGGCTTCGTATTTTTCGGCATCTTCCGGTCCCGTCAGAACTGAAGAAACAGAAGAGGACCGTTTGAAAATGCAGAGGATCTTCTGTCAAATTCCAGACTAAGAAAAGGAACGGCTTATTTCTCTTATTTCTCTTCCTACTGTCCTTATAGGATGGTTGTAACACAGAGTTCGCCCTCTGGCTTGCAATTTAAAGATCAGCAAAGAGAAGTGTCATATCCCTAAAGTGATACTGCCATTCAACTGGGAAAAAGGGGAAAAGAAATAAAGAAATATACTCGAGTGTATTTCTTTATTTCTACTTTTGGCAACTGTTGTTTTATAACCTTTATCCTGGCGCCTAAACGCCCTGAGATTTTCTCACCTTTGGGGGAATGTATAAGGGAGGAGGGCCATGTGGGTTGTTTCACTCTGAAAGCCGGCAGATGATGATCCTGGGAATGCTTGCTTATCTGGTTCTCAGGACAGCCTTTGCAATAATATCTTCACACTTGAGGATTGGCTGAATCCACATTGGGTTGAAGGGAGGGGTCTCTATTGCCTTAATTCTAACCATATTGCCTGAGGGAATTCAGAGTCTGAATTCTGAGTTCTGGTGTCACTTCTGCTCAATAAAAGGTTCCTTTTGAAATACCAAGTTTCAAGAGTGTTTACTTTTGTGAGTAAGGAGGAGAGGCAGGGCCTTACAAGAAGGAAAATAGCAAACTTGAGTGTTTGTTTGTAATTGCAAAGTACGTATGATGACCATCTACACCAGAGGTGTCAAGCTCACAGTCCGTGGGCTACATGCATCACACGCTGGCCACGCCCAACCCAGGTTTACCAAAGGGGAGAAAAAAGTCCAGATCCGTGAGTTTGACACGCCTGATCTACACTGCCAAGAGCCTGTGGAATGAGAAGATCGTATACATCAGTGTTCCTCAACCTTACACTACATGGATTTCAATTCCCACAATTCGCCAGCCAGCATTTTAGAATTGCTACGGTTGAGAAACACTGGCGTAAATAAATAAACAGACACGTCCATACAACTCAAGGAAAGAAGCTGCTGTTCCATGGTCCAGCTTCCTCCATCAATAGGGCAGTAACTCTATTGAATGTTACTGTATAGTGCAATATTCATGCAATATCAGGGGTTTTCAATTCAATTGTATAGAATGTGAGGGATGGGTGTTTGTGTTTATTTTCATAGCCATCATGTACACTGAAGATGGTGTTTAATTTCGTTGTATAGGGGGCAATGACAATAAAGTAAATTAAACTAATTTGAATGCTTTCGAATTGCCTGGATTCTGACCAACTCTGGATGGGGAATTCTGGGAACTGAAGCCCACCCACTCTTTATCCCAAAGGTGTTTTTTTTTTTTTCAAGAGGCAACTGGACTCCCTGGTTTTTCTTTGAAGACATTTCGCTTCTCATCCAAGAAGCTTCTTCAGCTCTGACTGGATGGTGGGGAATGGAAGGATTTATACTCCTTGCAGACAGCTTGTCATTTGCATCCTTTTAGAGAGTCCTTGAGGCCACTTGGAGGTTTATCTGTGTCCTCAGGATCACCTGAGTAGTGAAAATGGGTGTGGAGCCCTCCTGGAACTGCTGCAGATAAACCTCAAAGACTCTCCCAAAAGGATGCAAATGACCAGTTGTCTGCAAGGAATATAAATCCTTGCATCCTCCACCATCCAGTCAGAGGCGAGGAAGCTTTTTGGATGAGAAGCGAAACATCTTCAAAGAAAAACCAGTAAAGTCCAGCAATCTCCACAGACGCCCAGTCTTTATGTTTAAGTGCAAGGCCTGACTGTGCAACTCATTTATTCAGGGGATGAGAAACCCAGCACAGCTGTAAACCAGTCCTGTTTCCCCAAACCCGTAATGGACAGAAATAACCATTCTCGTCAACCAGGCCGGAAAGAATCCTGGCGCCTCCCTCCCTCCCTCCATTTCTTTCTTCTTCTTCTTCTTCTTCTTACTTTCAAAACAGTCCCTGATGTAGGTGGGAGCTCTGGTTTTCTTCAGCTCTTTATCCTGTGACATGTCATAAGGGACGAGGTCGTCATCGCTGCCAAAGGAATCCGGGAAAGAAGATTAGTCAATTCCTAGACGGCCAGCAACTATTTTGCCCTTGACTTATGAAAACAGTTGAGCCCAAAGTTTCTTGGTTTTAGCATCTCCGTAGTCAGGTGATCCAAAATTTAAGCACTTGGCAACTGGACTGAATTTAGGACAGTTGCACCCCGTGATAGCGAACCTATGGCATGCGTGCCACAGGTGGCACGTAGAGCCATTTGTGCCGGCATGCGAGCCGCAGGCAAACTTACCTCACTGCGCATGCGGAAGCCTCCGAGCTGATTTTCGCCCTCCCAGAGGCTTGATGAAAGCCTCTGCAGCCCGAAAAATAGGCCCGTTTCATCACTTCCTGTATTTTCGGAAATACCGGAAGTGACGAAACGGGCCTATTTTTCGGGCTGCAGAGGCTTTCATCAAGCCTCTGGGAGGGCGAAAAGGGCCTCAAACAGGCCAAAAGTCAGCTAGGAGGCACAGTGCAGGTAAGGGAGCAGCGGAAGAGGGGGATTGGGCATGGGGGGGACACGCATTGCCTTCTGGGTGCTGGCACACAAGCGCGCATACAATTTTTGGCCCAGGAGTCCAAAAAGGTTAGCCACCACTGGTTGCACCTGTCCTGAGGTCACATGAACACCACTTGTGACCTTCCCAGCTGGCTTCCGATCAGCCAAGTCAACAAGGGAAGCCACATTTGCTTAATCATGATTCATTTAACCGCCGCAGTGATTCGCGTAATAGTGGCAGAAAAGGTTGTAACATGGGGCCTAACTCACTTAACAGCCGCCTGGCTTAGTAAATTTCGGGCTCAATTGTGGTCATACGGTTGAGGACTGCCTGGGTCATTTGTTTAGCCTACCTATCAAGCTCTGAATCAACTCCCTTTTCGGGGTCTTCAGAGGCATCCAAATCTGCTGGTGTCACACTGGAAGGTAGAAGCGCGCTGGAGGTCGGGTTGGATGTGCTGTCCCTGCAACAGGAAAAGGGGATTTTAAAATGTTATTCTTTTGTTTACCAAATGTAGGCACCGCCCAAATCAATATCTAAGGTCTCCAAACTTGGCAACTTTAAGACTTGTGGACTTCAACTCGCTGTTTGAGGAAGTTGCACAACATTCTCAGAGACTCTTCTCATCCTGCTCACAATCTTTGTGAAACTGTTGCCTTCTGGCAGAAGATACAGAACAATTAAAACTCGGACCCCACGTTTTCTGAACAGCTTTTATCCCAGAGGTATAATTGCACTTAACAATGAACTTAAGGACCACCATCAGTGAGCTGTTGGACAGTATTACTTGGTCTGTTGTGTGGATGCTAGTGTCATTCCCTAGTTAGAGTCGTATTCTGAGGGAGAGGAGGAACAGCCGACAGGGAGTGGAGGTATGACTCCGGAGGTTGTGGAGGAGGCTGGGGAAGGGCAGAGGCTGGCTGGGCAGTCAGAGGAATAACCAGGCCCATCCCCTCTTTATCCTAGTACACACAGGGAGGAACGGAGAAGGAAACAAATTGGCTTAAGAAAGAGGAAGCGGCCATGATCCCCCTCATTGGTTGCAGCTGGGGAGAATAGTGTATAAGAGAGACGGTCAAAACACAGCATTGCCAGAAGCAAAGTATGTTTTATTTGGGGCTGAAGTTATCTTGGTTGGCATCCTTCCAACAGACTGTGCCTCGTTATCTCCCTGAAGTTGGTAATTACTTATCCTGGTCCGTTGTGGAAATTCCTTCATTGTAGTTTGTTTTAGTTTTTTATTTTACCTCTATCTGCTCATTAAGTTCGGACTGTATTGCTTTCTTTTGAAGACCATTTTTGAATAAGTTTTATCTCCAACTGAGAATTATTGAACAATGGGTCCAAGATGGAGACATTAAAGGCATTTATTTACATTTTGGATTTTATTACGTTTATGTTACACTCCGGGTCATCACACTTGTGTGTTTTAATTAAGGGGGTGGGGAACCTTGGCGGGTGGGGGGGTGTTTGGGGATTCCTGATCTAAGGGTTTACATGCTTAGCCCACAATTCTTTTCACATGGTGTCTGATTTCTGGTTATGCTTTTAAGATGTTCAGGATGTCATCAGATCGTTCACGAAACTCAGGTTGGCACATCTGATTCTGCCCTTGGTTTGACTTTCACAGACATTTCTGGCTGGGCACCTCCATCCCAAACCATCTACATTCTTGGTTTTCTCTATCATCTCTTAAAGGCTATTAAGCCACTTAGTTTATAAGGGCCATTTTTGGCAGACGATGGTGATTATGATTCCAATAAGTATCTTCAAAATAAGCTGGCCACGAAACACTACTCGAGAATTCAAAAATATTCTCCTAAAATGCCAGATCTTCATACTAGAAGGACCAATGATGCACATGACAGGCAATTGGTCTGATATGGAAAGTCAGAAATGGAGCGCTATCACTGAAAGAGTCTTTTAAATTTTAAAACAATTAGTCCCTTAAACAGTACAGTTAAAAAACGAACCAGCGGTAGATGCAAGCATTTCACATTGACTCATCAGTACCTACATCACAATAAACACGGTTAAAATCAGCATCAAGTATAAGATCTAGCAAGAGCATTAATTAAGCCTGTAACTTAACCCATAACTGAAAGAGTCCTTAAATTTGGAGAAGCGATACCACACACATACGGCCATTTGATCTGCTTTTCTCCTGCACAAAGCACTTTCCGACGCAACGTGGCTTATTGTTTTAGGCTATTTCTGGGTTTGGGAGCTAAGGAAGGGTTAGCCTTGGTTACCATGTAGATGGGAGACAAAAGGGAATCAAGACTAAGGAGTCCAAAAAATGATCTCAGCAGCAGGTGACAACCTATCACTTCTACATCTTCACCAAGATAATAACTCTAGGGGTAAGTTCATGAGGTCATCAGGGCTTGAGTTGACCAATACGGCACCTTGATTTCTATTCAACCAAAGTCACCAGGACAAATCTCTCTC